GAGGTTCAACCTGAACATAATGAAAAACTTTGTTATTTTGAGTGTTACAGAGCACTGGACCAGGCTGCCCAGAGAGGTTGTGGAGTCTCCTTCTCTGGAGATTCAAAACCCACCTGGATGCGTTCCTGTGCAACCTGGTCTGGGTGATCCTGCTTTGGCAGGGGGATTGGACTGGATGATCTTTCAAGATCCCTTCCACCTCCTATGATTCTGTGATTCTGTGAGAAATATTATCAATATTTGATATTAACATTATAATTGCTGTTGTCTGCAGACAATGGAAGCTATTGATGCTGGGAAACTCTTTTCCACTGCCTATCTAATGGATTTAGGTGCCTGCGTCAAATCATTACGCTACTGTGCAGGCTGGGCTGATAAAATCCATGGGCGTACTGTTCCAATGGGTGAGTAGTTTTGAGATAACAAAAATACAGAACTGAAGCCAATGTGATCTGTAAAAAACTGCCTTTTTCTAGAAATTGTGTAATACAAAAAATATCTCAAATGGAAAATATTTTAGATAGTTCTTAGTATGTTATTTAAGATTTATCATAGTGCTTGCTTTAAACATTTACTGCAGTTATGCACATTTATTTCTTGTTTTATACCCCACTAATAAGTACTGTTTATTGACCAAAAGATGCTAGCCTGTATGTACATCTAAGAAGTCTGATAGGTTTCTTTTGCATAACAATGTATGGTTTATGCAGTGGTACAGTAATGAAAACCAGCTATTTGCTTATTAAAACTAATATTACCACAAATAGTAATATCTGTTTCAGGTATTGGATAATGTATTAGGAAGAGTACTAAGAGATAGAAATGAGGAAATACTCCTTTATCTTGCTAAAATTTCATTCTGTTCCCTCTCTCATTAAGCAGCTCTATGAAAACATTGTTTTTAGCTGTCTTCTCCCAGAAGGACAACACAAAAATTGGTAATAAAGAAGGAATTAAGGAAAACTAGAATGATGAATACTTCCAACCCTTTTGCTTCACATAGACCTTTATACTAGGCTTAATGGAGCACATGTTTATTTAAATCAAAGAGAATTTTATAACTAATGGATTTGATTTAAGCTAAGTCCTAATATTAAAAAATGTCTGATATGTATGTAGGATTGCAAGTAACTTTTAAAAGAGCAGTTGAAAAAATGGTGATAAAAGAAAAAAGAAATGAGGAATGATCTTTCGTGTGCTGTGCATACCATATTGAGAAGCAAAAAGTCAGTCAGACTGGCAGAATCCAACCTTGGAGCTATGAAGAAAGTAGATATTGAATCCAGATGTACTTTATGGTTGTTTTATTGCATAGTTAAGATTTTGAAAGTATCATTTATAAGTAAAATTTTATCCAGTTAAGTTTGGTATCCAACTTTATCTTCTTTCTGATTTAACTGCTTCTCTCAAATGCTTTGTCTGAATGTTTAGTTTATTTGTTCTTCCCCTAGATGGAAACTTTTTTACATTTACAAGACATGAGCCTATCGGAGTGTGTGGCCAAATTATTCCTGTAAGTTGGAGCCATTTATGTAAAACACAAATGTTCCTTTTACAAATAGAAATGCTTTTGAAATTTTGTCTGTGCAAGTGCATTTTTGGAACATTACCAATAAAAAGCTTTCAGGTTTTGAAAAACAGAAACTATGCTGAATATTCATTAAATTCTACAACCTGGAGTTTTTGATGAGTCGGCATGGTCCAACTTTGTCTCTCTCCTCCCTGTACATGGAAAGAAAATAAATCTCAAAATACTGGCTGATGGTTTCATTTGAAAGACAGAGCTATGTTTTGCTGGAACTGAAAGAATTAGAAATAAACAAGTAGGAAAGGGTAATGTTTACAACCTGTAAGAAAGAGGCTGTTTAGGACCTGGAATATCTGTTCCACTCTGTACAGCATCCAGACAGTTGGATCTCTATGGCTGAGACTTATTCACTGTGTTGATGGTACAAGTAACAACACAAAGAATGTGTCTAATATGCACAGTGATACTAAGCTATAGTTCCCAAATTCCTGTTCAGATTGTCTAAATTCCCAGTTGTGAAGACACTTATTTTGAGAAGATTCAAAAGCTTGTTGTTAAAATGGTTGTAAATATCAGACACTCCTAATCTACCCACCTCTTTGCACATGGTAGGTGTGAGAAGCCTGACCTGACCTGCTCGACCACCTACCAGATGAAATAGTCAGCTTGTCTATCAGGTTTGCCCAGACATGTGGGTCCCAGACATGTTCCTGATGTCTTTCAGTTGAGCTTGCAGATTTGCTATCCCTTTAGACCACCACATTAATTTAGAATACATCACTGGAACACATTTGGATCCAGCCTCCAGGAGAGCTTAAGAATCTGCTGGTTTAAATTCTCTTGTAGGACAGGCACAAGATATTTCAAGTAAAGAACTCATAGTCAAGATATGCTAAAAAAAACTAGAAACACTAGATGAGGCCACTTCTAAATGAAATCGCATCTTGGAAGTATAATCAGTTAATAAAAACACTTGTAAAGTGTTCAAGGACTTCCTAGTATATCTTTTCTTTTCTCTCCTTTGAAATGTGAACCCACCAAGCTGGAGGCTTTTACATAAACAGAAAACTTTGAGGACTAAGCAAAACACTCTTGCTAGCTCCTCATTTCCATTTCCAATCCACTCACACAGTTCCATTTTTATGATGAAGATCCAGAAAATACTCTAATCCCTTACTTTGTGTTATTTGTGCTCCTGTTATTTCTGGGGGTGGGGTGAGACTGAAATTCATTTCAAAGTATAAAGAGAATGAGGAGGAGTTGCATGTATAATCCTTCAAGCCTTTCTGACATAATAAGTAACTGTTAACTGTCTAAGTGGGGACTTTCATGAAGGTAAGGCATGCTGCATCTTGTGTGCTGAGGCCTATGGGCTCAATGCTTCCAAAACTATTAAAAATATTCTTAAAGGGAAGCCCATTTTCCCCACAACTACATTGTCCCTCACAGTGCTGAATATGGGGTCCGAAAGAGTCAGCTGCTCTGCAGTCTGTCTGGACTGACCACAACAGAAAGCTGACAGTGAAACCTCCAGGCGGGAGGCCAGGGGCAGTGTTGCATATTATTAACTTGTCTCCTTTAGAAAACTGAATTGATGATGAATGTGATAACTTAAGATAGCAAAACTCACAATTTCATCCCTAATCCAGCAACTTTCTGTAAGGCTTTGCTAGATGAGTACACTTACTCTTTCTTGAGCTTTTAACTAAACCCTTGGGTCCCCTGGACTCAAACATAGACCAAAGTCACTGTTCTTTGTATAACACAGTTTACCAGTCACTTTTTCTCACTGTTTCAAAATATTTTAATTCTGAAAAGAGTTCAACAAAGAGTTCAACCACCCATTTGACAATTTGTGCTATTATCATAGAAAAAGTAAAGGCTTTTTGATTATGTATTAGAAATAGGATATGCTTTCTCATTTATCTTTCAGTGGAACTTCCCATTGGTTATGTTCATCTGGAAGATCGCCCCTGCTCTTTGTTGTGGAAACACAGTGGTTGTCAAACCAGCAGAACAAACGCCACTGACTGCCCTTTACATGGGATCCTTAATTAAAGAGGTAAGTCATCAACAACAGAATTTTTGGTCCTTCTCAAAAATGTAAGAATATACTGCAGCTAAAATGCCACAGAAGAATTCTCATTGCATGTCTCGCCTTGTACTATAGAACTTACCTTACTGTAAACTAGTGAAGCAAATCCAGGGCAAAAGCGTACATATCTTTCAGCCAAGTCCACACACACAAAAAAACCCACAATAACTGTTTAGTAAACTTCATCTCTTGGTAAACATATTTGTATTACAAAAGCACAGTACCTTTCAAAGTCAAAAGCAAACAAAGAGTAAAGAGGAGAGTACTTAGAGTTGGGTGGCAATTACTTTATTAGCAGAGTTATCACTGAAAAGAACCTGTGCACAGCTCTGGAACACAAGGACCATGGTAGTTTCTCCAATGTCTCTGAAGTTACATTGACTATTGTGCCCAGCCCAGCAAACACACAAAGAACAGTTAAATAGCTTAGCTCTCTTGCTTGCCAATAAAATCAACAATGTAATCTAACATGTTTAAAGAGTTGTCACAGATGTCAATAATTACCAGCACAGTAACCTTGCAGAGTGTTAATGGAAATGACTTGGCAAATTTTATTATTTTCTTCAAAACAATGATTCAGCAGAGCACACTGACTGGTTGTGTGTTAATATTTCACAGAAACTAAATGACTACCAGGAAGGAGCCAAGTACTGCTGTTATTGTATCACACAGTAAATGCTATTATATAATACTAGGGAGGAGGAATTGTTTAAAAAAATTACCAGAGAAACCTTCTCTATTAATTCTTAACAATAAGTATCAGAAAGTATCTTTCTCTGAAAAAAACAGCTTTAGAGGGAAAGTAACTCTCTGCTCTGAGTCTAATGAAAAATCTGTTCTGATATTCTGATCTCCTGAAAGGAGAGCTCATAAGTGGGAACATGTTCCATTTTGTATGCACATGTAAAGCAGTTACAGAGTGGTAATGACTGGTGTAACACCAGAACATTTTTAGTAAAAGGCAAGATGATTCTCATTTACATATTAATTTAATGTTCAGCTAGACTAGAAGCTTAAGTTTATAACTGTTAAATCTCTTTGCTGCTATTCCCCACAGCATTCTCATGAACAAACAGGTTGCCCAAAGCTCGGACAAGTGTACACTTTGCTGGATCAAACACTGGCTGGGTGGCCAGGGCCAGAGAGCCATGGTGAATGGAGTTAAATACAGTTGGCAGCCAGACATAGGTGGTGTTCCCCAGGGCTCAGTGTTGGGGCCACTCCTGTTTAATATCTTTATCAATGATCTGGGCGAGAGGATTGAGTGCTTCCTCAGTACGTTTGCAGACAACACCAAGTTAGATGAGAGTGTTGATCTGCTTGAGAGTAGGAGGGCTCTTCAGAGGGACCTGGACAGGCTGGATCGATGGGCTGAGGCCAACTGTATGAGCTTTGACAAGACCAAGTACCACGTCCTGCGCTTGGGTCACATAAACCCCATACAATACTACAGTCTTAGAGATGAGTGACTGGGAAGCTTCCAGTCAGAAAGCAACCTGGGAGTGTTGATCAACAGCCAACTGAACATGAAGCAACAGTGTGCCTAGGTGGCCAAGAAGCCAATGGCATCCTAGCCTGCATCAGGAATAGTGTGGCCAGCAGGACTAGAGGGGATATTGTCCCACTGGACTTGGCACTGGTGAGACTGTACCTTGAGTACTGTGTTCAGTTTTGGACACCGTAGCATAAGAAAGACATTGAGGTACTAGAGAGGGCCCAGAGAAGGGTAACAAAGCTTGTGAAGGGTTTTGAGAATAAGTCTTATGAGGAGTGGCTGAAGAAAAGAAGGCTGAGGGGAGACCTTATCACTCTCTACAACTACCTGAAAGGAAGTTGTAGTGAGGTGAGTGTGGCTCTCTTCTCACAGGTAGCAAGAAATAAGACAAGAGGAAATGGCATCAAGTCATGTCTAACCTAAACCTCCCCTGACATTAGGAAAAACACTGAAAAGGTTATCAAAGACTCGAACAGGCTGCCCAGGGAGCAGCATGTGTTTTCTTTATACTTATGGCTGGGGGAGAAACAAAAAAATAAATTTATTCCTTTTCAATGGTACTGAAAAATAACTAAAATTAAATGTTACTTTTTAAAAAGAAAAAGACCCAATACAATAG